CATGACCGGCCCGGGCTGTCCGCACCTCCCTCCCTTCTTCAGAGGCAGGCACCCCACCAGGCCCTGCTGCCCCAAAGTCCAAACGGCCCTAGCTGGGCTGTGGCCCCAGCCTCTGCCCAGGCCCGAACCCCCAGCCCGTGTTTGTATGGCAGTAGCAGGTCTCTGGTCTCCATGACGCACCTGTGGGTCAGTCCTCGGATGTCCTGGGAGCCCTCCCAGCTGCCCCGCTCAGCGCCTGGTGGGTGGCTGCCAAGATGCTGAGGCAAGGGGCACGTAGCCCAGGTGAGGAAGTGGGCCCCGACACACGTATCCAGGAAGGCCGGCCAGGCCCGGGGAAGGGAGCGGCCTGGCTGCCCAGGGCACGGCGGGAGAGCCCCTGGCGGAGCTGCATATCCGTCTCCGTCTCCAGCAGGGCCACCTGCGCTTTGCTGACCTACATTTGTCGGGTAATCCTCACCACAGCGGCGCAGGCATCGTCATGCCCATTTCACAGATGACAAAGCCAAGGTTCAAAGAGGTGGAGTGACTTGCCTGAGGCCAGTGGCAGGGGTTCACCTGGAAAGCTTTCCAGCCCCCAAGCAGAGGTCTCCCCTCACACTCCTGTGTATTTTAAACACTGTGGGGCGGTCACCAACTGCTGGGTGCTCTCTCCAAGCCGGGGACTTGGTGGGGGGACCGTGAGAGCTCTCGTTCTGCACCCGTTCAGCGGCTACGCACTGAGCACCCGCTAGGAGCAGGCCGGACCTGGAGACCCACAGGGAACAAGAGGCAAAGGGCACTGCCGGGTCGCCTTCTCTCGTGGGGAAGGCGGACGGTGACCCCAGGGAGCAGCTGGCTGAAGGAACCTGACCCCAAGGAAGGGAAGGGAGAGGCTACAGTGTTTATTATTATTATTATTATTATTATTATTATTTAGATTTTTGCCATAGGATGCATGCACTCACTGGAGAGAGACAGAGAAAGAGAGACAGGGAAAGTGAGAAATCACCCCCCGGGTGATTCACATGGCAATCTTTTCTCCATTCTATTCTTGGGATTTGGGGCACGCACACACCGGTGTGTTTTTCAGGCGTTCAGGTCCGGGCCTAGACCCACAGTTAGCCATGTGGGATCCAGTGTCTTAGCCACCATGCCACTCACTGGCCCCCAGGGTGCTGTTTTAGATGGATGGTCTGAGGGGTGGTGCAACTTTCCAGAAAAGGTCCTGTTTGCTTGTGGTTGCTTTTTAATATATATATTTAGTTTTTGTTTTGGGACCCATGCATTTGCAGAGAGAGAAAGTGAGAGAGCACCCTTCAGGGGGCAGGGCCACACCACAATCCCTACTCCTTTTAGGATTTGGGACACACACCAGTTTCGGAACTCGAACAATACAGTCAGCCGTGGGATCAGCTGCCTTACCTCCGCGCTGTCTGCTGGCCAGCTGTGATTGTTGAGGTGACCTTTGAGCAGAGGAGCCTGTACGTATCTGAGGAAACACACCAGGCAAGGGGCTAGCGGATGCAAAGCCCCAGGCAGGGCTCCCTGGGTACACAGGGGCACGTCACAGAACCGAGGGGGACAGTGGAGGAGGTTAGGTCCGGGAGGCGAGGGGAGCTGGGGAAGCCCAGACTCTGAAAAAAAAAGAACGTCTTTACTTTTATCGTAAATGAGAGGTAGAGCCATGGAAGGCCTGGACGCGAGGATAAGCCCAGCCAGCCAGGCGGCATGGTGGTTAAGGTGGCTGGATCCCAGGGGTCAGCTGTGCGTCCCCAGTCCCAGATGCAGTGGCTTGAAAACACACCGGGTGTGTGCACGTCCAGCATCCTGAGAGGAGGATGAAGACGGGCCGCAGGGTGGATTTCTCACTGTCCCTGTGTCTCTCTGGCGAGCGCACGTGCCCTAGAGGAGAAAAACAAAACAAAACTACGAATATTAAGAAAGGGAAAAAAGTCCACATAAGTAAAGATTTTAAAAGGAGGCTCTCTCTGTGGGGCCGGAAGACAAAGTGGTGGTTGGGGGTGCTGGACTCCCACATGGCCAACTGTAGTTCAAGTCCCAGACCTGTAGGCTCTCTCTCTCTATGTATGTGTCTCTCTTTGGAAATATTAAAAAATAATAAAAAATAAATAAAGTTGAATAAAATAGTTCTTTTTTTTTTTTTTTTGACAGATTTTTGCTACAGGGCATATGCACTCGCCCGAAAAAGTGGTGGTTGGGGGTGCTGGACTCCCACATGGCCAACTGTAGTTCAAGTCCCAGACCTGTAGGCTCTCTCTCTCTATGTATGTGTCTCTCTTTGGAAATATTAAAAAATAATAAAAAATAAATAAAGTTGAATAAAATAGTTCTTTTTTTTTTTTTTTTGACAGATTTTTGCTACAGGGCATATGCACTCGCCCGAAAGATAGAGGGACAGAGAGACAGAAAGCAAGAAATCACCCCCCAGGGGGGGATGGCCACACCACAATCCCCTCTCCTCCATTCTCCTCTCGGGATCCTGGGCACGCACGCACACGCCCGGCGTGTGTTTAAGCCACTGGGCCCGGGACTCGAACTATGGTCGACTACATGGGTGTCCAGTGACACAGCCATTACACTAACTGCTGGTCCCTAAAATAATTCTTAAAAAAAAAAAGAGGCTCTCTCTGGGTCCAGCAGGTTAGAGCGCTGGACTCCCACATGGCTGACTGCGGTTCAAGTCCCAGACCCAGGACCTTGAAAATCACACCGGGCATGTGTGTATGCGTGCCCAGAATCCTAAGAGGAAAAAGGAGAATGGATTGGGGTGTGATTATCCCCCTGGGAGGTGATTTCTCGTTTTCTCTCTCACTGTCTCTCTCTGTCTCTAGTGAGCATATGTACCCTATCACAAAAACATAAAAAAAAAAAAAAGTGTGTGAGAGAGAATATTCTGTAAGGAGAAGGGAAGGGGGAGGAAGAGCGATAAAGAGGGGCTGGGAAGATACCAGGGGAGAGGTGGCCGCCATCGTGGGGGGTGGGGCCCTGTATGATGTGCTTTCGAGAGCAGCCGGGGCACTGCAGACCGACTGGATTTGGGTAGGAGCGGCAGGAGAGGCAGGCCTGCTGCAGTCCGGCCAGGCCCGGCCGAGGTGCTCAGCCTCATGAGGAGCGCTGGGCAGGCGTAGCACTAGTGTGGACGTGAAGGCCGGATAGCGCTGGCCCTTTTCTGGCGGAGGCTGCTCGGCCTCCTCCTTCCCTCTCTGATATTGTGAACTGGGCTGAGTAGGGTCTGCCGTGTGGGGCTGAGTGAGCCAGCCTCACCCTCCCACCCCGGGGGAAGCCAACTGGCACAGCCTTTGCAGAAAGCAGTTCATCCATCCTTATGTATCAAGAGTCTTAAAAGCTCCATGCCCAGGGCCTGCAGGTGATGTGGTAGTTAAGGTACTGGACTCCCACATGGCTGACTATGGTTCGAGTCCTGGACCTGGTGGCTTGAAAATCACACCAGGTGTATGTGCGTGCATGCCCAAAACCCCGGAGGAGAATGGACTGGGGGTGATTTCTCACTTTGGCTCTCTCTTTCTGTCTCGCTCCAGCATGCACATGCACCTTATGGCAAAACCCTAAAAAAAAGAAAAAAGAAAAGAAAAAAAAAATTCATGCCCTTTGACCCAGTGAGTCCCATTCTAGGAAGTTCCCCCTGGAGAAGCCATTTGAAATGCAGGGGTGCAGGGGTTATTTAGAATAGCTAAAGAGATATCGGCAAGTGTGCTGGTAGGGAAATGGTGAAATCAGGCAGACACATCCTTGTAGCTTACACTGGATAGTTGTGCTGCCAGTACTCCAGCTTCCTAAGAATGCTAATGTCAGGCGATGCCTGGGCTGCAGTGTCAAGTGGAATTAAAGCGCCAGCAGGCGGAGTGGTGGTGGAGGCCCCAGACACTCACATGGTCGACCATGATTCGAATCCCGGACCTGGTAACTTGTTTTCTCACCTCCTGCCCCATGTCTCTCTCCAGTCGAATTTAAAAATAACGATAATAATAAGAGCTAAGAAATAAGATATTACTTTATATATATATAAAAAAACAGCTAGCATTTCGGGCCAGCTGGTTGCAAGGTGGTCAAGAGACCTGAATCCCCCGTGGCTAACTGCAGTTAAGAGTCGTGAACCCGGCAGCTTGAGAAACACTGGGTAAGTGAGCGTGCATGCCCAAAATCCCAGGAAGGAGAAATGGAGAAGAGGGGATAGAGATGAGACCATGTCCACGGAGGGGCTGCTTTTTAATTCCCCACGCCCTCTCTGGCAAGCACATGTGCCCTTTGGCAAAAATTTTAAAAAGCTAGTATTTAAAAAAGAAAGCGAAAGGAAACATGAATTCCCAGAAGCCGAGGCACAAAGAGGCCAAGCCGGGAGCAGAGAACTGACCCACCCATCCCTTCCAGGGAGAGCTGCAGGGAGGAGGCGGGCTGGTGCCACTCTTCTACAGCCCAGTGGGAGTGGGTAGGCCAGGCTTACCTGGGGGGCAGGAGAGAACTGCCCTGAGGCCCTGCCTTCCCCCACCCCCCAGGCCCCCTCGGTTCAGGGCCCCTGCGGCCCTTGGCGTTTGCTCCTCCGTCTGCTCAGCCTCCATGCGCCTTCACTGGAAGCTGTCCTGGGCTGACATGGCATCCTGTGTACTGTGGTTCTCGCAGCGTGGCCCCCCCAGACCAGGAGCACGATGCCACTCAGGATCGCCATAGAAATGCAAATTCACAGCCCCCTCCCCAGACCTCCGAATCTGCAACTCTGGAGGTGAGGGCCCAGCCATTGTGTCCTAACAAGCCCTCCAGGGCTAACGTGTGAGAACCCCTGCCCTACGGGAAGGCCCCACCCTGGCCCATATTTTACGTGGATTATTTCATTTTACACATTGTTGTGAGTCCCACTTCATAAGGGACTGGCCCAGGGTCACACAGCCAGCCAGAGGCAAGTCAAGACTCTGGGCCCATGAGTTTAAACTCTGGTTCTGCAGGGGCCCGGACTCCAGGCTCTCCTTCTGGGTCCTTTGTGGTGCTGGGCGCCAGCGTGGTTAACTGGTTTTTGCCACGTCAGATCCCTGGCAGCTCGGTCAGAAGGGCAGGCACCCCTGAGAAGCAGCAGCCCCGAGCCCTGTGGGAGGAGGGAGGTGGGGTCTGTGCTGCCCCGGGGCCCCTTGGGGCTTGAAAGCCAGCGGCTGTGTGGATGGACAAACACTGCAGAGGCGGGGCGGGGCGCCACCTGCTGGCCAGACGGCACCATTGCTGATGCCTGGAACAGACGCAGGGACCCACACACACACATCTCTGGCGAGCACGTGTCTCCTCCCACTGCACGCGGACATACGTGTCCACACGTGGATGTCTGGGCCTTGGGCACGTGGAGCTCTCAGCTGCAAGACCTAGTCGATAGCACGAAATTCACTCATTTATTCATGAATTCGCTCATCAAGTGTTCGCTCAGACATACCAGGCTCAGCTGAGGCCACCTGGGAGCCTGCAGGTTGGACAGAGAGGCGATCGCAAGGTGCTGGGGGTCGGTCCTGGAAGGGATGCACCCAGTGCGGTCACAGAGGCAGACCCTTACGCGGGGACCAGGCTGGGAACAGGCAGCCCTCCCAGGAAGCCCATACCCAGCCGAACCCTACAAGGCAGGCAGGAGATGGCTGGTGACAGAGGCAGAGGCTCATCAGAGCAGAGCCGAGGGAGGACCGGGAAGGAGAGCTGGCGCCCCTAGCAGAAGGTCCTGTCCATAGCAGCTGCACCCGGTGCCACACCGTCCTGACACGCCGGCACTAACGCCTGGGATTCCGGACCCGAGGGCGTCAGCCCCAGTGCACATGGCCTTGGAGGGCCTTGACTGTCACGGCCTCCCCTGCTGCAGCAGCTTCGCCGGCTGTGTCTGGGATGGGGGCAGCCCTGGTGTCAGAGAGAAGCCTGTCTGCAGTCTAGAAATGCATGAAGCAGACACAGCCTGACATCCCTGCGTGCCCCGCAGAGGTCCCGTTTTTGACTTACGAGGCAGCTCTCAGGTGTGACCTGTTGCGAAGCAGCCCTGTGTGCCCACTGAGTGCCCCGAAGCCCCCACCTCTGAAGGGTGGACCTGGCTGGGCGAGCTTTGATGGGTGGTGTGTGCCTTCGGGGTCACTGAGACAGGACAGCTCTGGCCAGAGGGCTGGCAGGACATGGGAGGGGAGCCACTGAAGACCCCTGGACAAGAGGCGGCAGGTGATGCCCCTAGCTTAGAGGAAGGCCATGCCGCTGTCAGAAGCTGGTCCCCGCCCGGCCTGGTCCCCGGCCCGCCTCCGGCCTGCGGTTTTCCTGAGCACTGCAGCTGTGGCGGTTTCCGAGAAGCCCCACCAAGACTTTCCTGTCAGGGCAACTCCAAGTTCCTCTTATGGAGGAAGGGGAAGTGGTGGAGTTTTTCCTAAGGGCTTTCAGTTTCTTTCTAAGAAGCCAGGGTGGCCCAACCCCACGTGTTAAAGGAAGAGAGTTCAGCTTGAGGGGCTTCCCCTCCTCTGTTCCAACTGGAGCTCATCTGCGGGGGGCCCATGGAGGGGGGCACTGAGGGAGGGCAAATGAGCTGAGTGTGTTGCACTGGCCCTTCCAACACCCCCCCCCCTTTCTCCCTCCTCCAGGACACCGTCCTGCCACCCCAATACACACATGCACGAAATGCGGCCTGCCCTCACTCAGGGCCTGGGGGGGGCGGCAAACCTGCTTCCTTGATCCTCAGAGCCAAATCTCTGCGTCTTACTCCCTCAGGGCTCTGCTGAGTGGCTCGAGTCTAACCCAAGGGTCAGACGGGGACACAGGAGTAAAGGGATGCTCTGGGAGCCAGTCCTGTGGGAAGGTTTGGTTCATGTCCAGAGACCCCCCCGAGCACCAGAGGCATACATGTGCCATGGTCTGGGGCCGACTGAGGCTGGGGTGGGTCATGGCATCGAGAACCTGTTGGGGTCAGCAGGTGGTGTGGTGGTTGAGGCCCTGGACTCCCGCATGGCTGACCCTGGTTCAAGCCCCGGGCCTGGCACTTTGAAAATCATGCCAGGTGCATGTGCATACACATTCTCCTCTCCCAAGAGGAGAATGGAGGAGAAGCGATTGCAGCATGACCATCCTCCCGGGCGGGGGGGAATTTCTTACTTTCCCTCTCTCTGTCTCTCTCCTGTGCCCTATGGCAAAACCTAAAAGGAAAAAAAGAACCCATTGGGTCTGTCTGTCTGTCTGTCTGACTCTGTGTCTTTTGCTCATGGAAGAAATACACAAATAAGCTTTGGAAGTCTAACCCGAAGGGCTGACATGATGCAGGCCTAATAGGGATTCTGGCTCAGGGCACGTGTCCGTGTGTGGAGGCTCCTGGCCATGGAGTCCTGGGGACTTCCAGCAGCCCGTCTCGAGAAGACCTGTCTGCTTGGCAGTGAAGTAAAGGCCCTGACTCTCCTAACAATGGCCACCGTTGAGGTGCACGCTCACCACGTGCCAAATGCCCTGCCAAGGATTTGCATTAATGTCCTCCTATAACCCCACAGTGACCCCACGGCAAAGATACCATCAATACCCCGAGGTCAAGCAAGCGGCCCAGCTCAGAGCTCCCCGGAGCCCGTTCTTCCCGGTAGGCCTCTTCTCAGAAAGGTGGGGAACAGGGGCCCAGCAGGTGGCATGGTGGTCGGGCGCTGGACTTCCACATGGCCGACCGTGGTGCTAGTCCTGGACTTGGTAGCTTGCTATCTCACTTCCCTTCTCTCTCTTTCTCTGTCTCTCTGGTCAGATTAAAAACATAACAATAAATAAAATTAGGTAATTTTTTTTTTAAAAGGGACCAGCAGAGGGACCGGCAGTTGGTGTAATGGCTGTGTCCCTGGACACCCATGTAGTTGACCACGGTTCGAGTCCCGGACCCAGTGTCTTAAACTCACACCAGGCATATGTGCGTGCCCAAGATCCTGAGAGGAGAATGGAGGAGAAGGGATTGCGATTTCTTGTTTTCTGTCTCTGTCTCTGTCTTTCCGGTAGCGCACAATGCCCTAGGAAAAAACCCCCAAAAAAAAAAAAAAAAAAAAGAAAGAAAGAAAGATAAAGGGACCAGCAGATGGCATAATGGTTATGTAGCTGGACTCCCACATAGTTGACCATAGTTCAAGTCCAGGACCTGGCGGGTTAAAAATCACACCTGGGGCATGTGCGTGTGTGCCCAAGATCCCAAGAGGAGAATGGAGGCAAAGGATGCAACATGGCCATCTGCCCCAGGGGGTGCTTTCTTATTTTCTGTCTCTCTGGTGAGCATAAGCTCCCTATAGCAAAAAATCTCTATCAGACCTCGGGAGCTGGCAGGGAGGTCTGGTCTCCAGTATCCTGCGTCTCCAAGCCGCTGCGCTCTGAGGGGTAAGGAGCCAGCTAACTAGTTATGGCCGTTCCTGTGGCACTGGCATGCCCAGGGCTCCCTCGAATCATCACGCACTCTTGTCCCCTTTCTATCTTCCACCCACAGGCATTTTCTTAGGGTGTCTGCTTTCCAATGCGTGTTATGAAGACGGTGGGGGGATTCCCCTAAGCCATGATGCTGTGCTGCTCAAAAACACTCTCCTGAGGTCCACAGCTGTGAGTCACTCTCTGTAGAGGTGAGAAGGAAACTCCCAGCTGCAAGGGGCGGGGCTGGCCCTAACGAAAGGGGACACTTGTCGTGTGGCCAGGTTTAGCAACTAGAAATGCCGGATGCCCAGTTAAATTTGAATTTCAGATGCACAGCAACATCTGGGACATCCTATGCTAAAAAAAAAAAAAGTTACTTGGTATTTTTCTGAGATTCAAATGTTTTTTCCTTTTTTTGAGAGGTTTTTGCTATAGGGCGCATGCGCTCTCCAGGACAGAGATAGACAGAGAGACAGAAAGCGAGAAATCACCCCCCGGGGGGGAGGCCACGCTGCAATCCCTTCTCCTCCATTCTCCTCTCGGGATCTTGGAAAGGCACGCACATGCGCCCGGCGTGAGTTTTAAGCCACCGGGTCCGGGACTCGAACAGCGCAGTCAGCCACATGGGAGACATAGCCATTATGCCAACTGCTAGTCCCCTGAGATTCAACTGTAACTGGGCATCCTATATATATGTTTTTTAATTAAATTATTTTATTTAACTTTATTTATTATGATGATGATGATTATTTTCCAGTTTGATCAGAGAGAGACAGAGAGAGAGAGAGGAAGTGAGAAAGCAAGCCACCAGGTCTGAGACTCGAACCGTGGTAGGCCATGTGGGAGTCCAGTGCCTTTAACCACCATGCCACTTGCCGGCCCCAGACATCCTATATTTTATCTGGCAACTCTAGACACCTGGGCCAAAGCTCCAGGCATCCCCCCAGGCCTCAGCACGGGGCAGCTGAGAAAAGAGACAGCAGAAGTGGGGAGAAACTCGCTGACCTGGGGTGGAGACAGACCTGTGAGTCTCAGCAATCGGAGAAGGGTGGAGACACTGTGCTCCCAGGGCGCTCCCTGAGCAATCACGAACCGTCAACCTGACCCCAGGGCACAGTTCCCCGCTCAAACTCCACAGGGCGCTCTTGTAGGTCCCGTTTCCCCAGGCCTTGGGTTCTCCTCCAGTTATGGAGAGGAGGCTTGGATTCCATAATGCCTAGAGACACCCTAGCCACACCTGACTTTTTGGGCCTAGTAAAAACCTACCAGAAGCAAGAGAAAGTGTGAGTAAGCAAGCCACAGAGCAGGTTCGGGGTGAGGAGAGGCCAGCTTTGCTTGGAAAAAGCTACCTCCCCTGCCCCATAGCTCTGAAAAGCTCTGAGACTGAAGCTTTGCAACTGGACACTGGGTGCTTTGGAGGGTTCCCTTGGGTGCAGCAGTGCATGCTGGGCCTGCTTTCAGAGGGGCCCTGGGGATAACCCACAGCTGGGTCTGTAGCCACAGTGGCCGGGGCCGCAGGCAGTGTTTTGAAGGCCCATGTGAACAGCTGAGCCACAGCGGAGGGGTGTGTGGAGGGGGACTGTTTTTAGGTCCAAACTTCAAAATATGTTGTCAGAATGAAATGCTCTCATAGTTTTGTTTTTGGCTCAGTTTTTTCTTCTTTTATTTCCAGAGGCACATGTGCTTGCCAGAGAGAGAGAGAGAGATGGAGAGAGTACCTCCCCACCCACAATGTGGCGTGGCCATGCCGTGATCCCCTCTCCATTTCTCCCGTCCTGTTGGGAGATGTGGGGGGCATGCATGTACACACGCCCAGAAAGTTTCTCAAGACCCTGGGGACAGGATTCAAGCTGTGACTGGCCCCTCGAGAGCTGGCTCTCCTTTTTGTTACTTGTTTTTGTTTTTGCTCTAGGGTGCGTGTGCTTGCCACAGAGAGACAGAGAAGGAATGAGAAATCATCCCCTCGAGGGGGACGACCACGCTGCGGTCCCTTCTTCATTCTTCTTTCGGGATGTTGGGCATGCACGCATCCACGCCGGGAGTGATTTTCAAGCCACTGGGTCCGGGATTCAAACTGTGGTGGACCCTGTGAGATTCCAATGCCTTAGTAACTATGTCACCCGGGGTCTGACTTCCTTAGCCACCAGGCCATGGGGCCAACCCTCTAGTTTATGCACATTCTGTGTGATGGCGTGTGGATGCATTCGAATATATTTGACATGTTGAAATATGTGGCCTCAGGAAGAAAGCCCTCGGCCTTTAAGTACCTGGATGTGGAGACAGTGAATTCCCTCCTGCCCAGGGCCTGGGGACAGGGGTGGGGTGAAGTGTGCACCTTAGCCATAAGACTCTCTGGGGCTAGAGATGGGGACTGGCCTGGGAAGCAGGGGAGACATCTCTGAGCGCGGACTAAAGCAGGCTGCAGATGATGTCGGGAGAGGGACCGGCCAAGACCGGGCCCAGGCCTGAGAGTCAGGCTGCAGGTCCACACAGGGAACCGGAAGCTGGTCGGGATGGCAGGATTATTTCAGAACTCTGCTTGCTGGGGAGCAGGGTTGCCGAACTGCACCCCATGACGGAGGTGCTTTGGGGATGGAGGGACTCCGAGCCCCACCGCCACCGTCAGCGCCGTGCCTCAGAGCCACCAGTAGAAGATTACGCATGTAGTCTGTGCCGCGGACAGTGGGGACGTCCTCAGGGTGACATACGATAGAAAGAAAAGCATCTCTAGGAAACCCGGCATATTTCTTTTTAGGGCTACCACGAAAAAGAGCCACAGACCGGGCGGTGAGACGACAGCATCTATCGTCTCAGGGTTCTGGAGGCCGGAGGTCGGAGGACGAGGGGTGGCGGGCTGGTATCTCCTGGGGCCTCTTCCCGTGTTTGTAGGTGGCTGTCTTCTCTCCTCTCTGTCCTCACACGCCCGTCCCTCTGCGTGCACCTGTGTCCGCGTTCCCTCTCCTTAGAAGAACAGCAGTCATATTACATAGGATCTGCCCGCATGACCTCATTATACCCTAACTACCTCTTAATTCATTATTTTCTAAAAGTCGGTTTTATTTAAGGTAGAGAGTAAGTGTGAGTGCTCGCAAGAGAGGGGCCCTCGCCTTGTCCTGGGACGATCCCCGTCCGCAGCCCTCCAGCTCATCAGGATCTTGGGCGAAGTCAGTGGGGCCAGGAATCCGAACCTGCGCTTGGCCACGTGGCTTCCTGCATGCTGCAGACCGGGCCACCCGGGCTGGGCCCTAACAGCCCCCTTAAAGGCCCCATCTCCACACGTAGTCACATGCTGAGGTGCCCAGGGCCAGGACTCCAGGGTAGGAATTTTGAGGGGCACACGATTCAGCCCGTTCATTTGGCGGCGTTCAAGTAGGATGGGAGTGCAGAGAGTGCTGGCTGTGGGAGTGCAGGTGGGATGCAGGGCCTCGGGCCACTCCGCAGAGACCGCCTCCCTCTAGACATTCTGGGGCTCCCCTGCCTCCCAGTTTTGATCGGGAGCACCTGAGGGACATACCTTGTAGACGATGTCCTTTACAGATGTGGCTAGCACTGGCCAGCTGAGTAGTGAGGGGTCAGCGCTGTGACCGACGTCTTTCTTTCTTTTCTTTTTTTTTCCCCCTTGGGAGATTTTTTTGCTACAGGGCACATGCGCTCGCCAAGGCAAGAAATCCCTCACCCCAGGGGGATGGCCACGCTGCAATCCCTTCTCCTCCATCCTCCTCTCGGGATTTTGGGCACGCACACACACGCCAGGCCTGAGCTTCAAGCCACCAGGTCCCGGACTCAAACCATAGTTAACCACTCTGCCACCTGCTGGCCCCGGGATTTCTTACAACAGGACTAGAGCTATCTAACAAATGACAAGGGTCTGGTAAGCTTTGTCTTTATTTATTATTATTTTCCAGTTTGATCAGAGAGAGGGAAAGTGAGAAAGCAAGCCACCAGGTCCAGGACTTGGACTGTGGTCAGCCACATGGGAGTCCAGCGCCTTTAACCACCAGGCCACCTGCCAGCCCTAACTATCTTCTTTAAAAACAAAGTTTCAAATTCTCTACTGAGAGTTGCTATTGATAGGACCATCTATGAATCCTTAAAACATAAGGACAGATATATTAGTGTTTGTGTTTTTACAAAGTAACATTGCTTATTGAAGACACAGACAAAAAAAAAAGAAAACAAAATCAGCAATAATCAAAGCTTTCAGAGATAACCACTGTTACTATTTTGGTTTATTTTTTAGGTTTCTTGTCCCCCCTGCAAGAGATATTTGCGATAGGGTACTCGCTCACTGAAGAGACAGAGACAGAAAGCAAGAAATCACCCCCCAGGGAGGATGGTCACACTGCAATCCCTTCTCCTCCATTCTCCCCTCAGGATTTTGGGCATGCACGCACACGCGCCCGGCGTGAGTTTTCAGCCACCAGGTCCAGACTTAAACAGCACCCGATCACGTGGGAGTCCAGCAAGGTAACCATGACGCCATCGATTGGTCCCAGGTTCTTGTTTATTTCTTCAGCTAGAGAAAGAGCGACAGACTCGGGCACCGCGGATAGAATCCCCACAGATGGTCCACCCCTCGTCTCAGCCGGCCTGGATTGCAGGGACACACCAAGCACACCAGAAAGGTTCCCAGGACACGAACCCGGGACCCTTCCGCTGTGAGCCCAGCTCCATGACAGCCACACGGCTACCTGGCCCCACCTGTCGGTTTCTCTGTCTGTCTTCATCTCTACGTATCTTAATCGACATCTCGATCTACACTTACGTAATTAAATCAGCGTTCAAGATACAATCGGATTGCATGGCACCGTTTCATAACTCTTATCAACAACGCTATGGCGACCGCTTCCCAGGGCACGGGATTGCTTTTCTAAGAACCCACGGACGGCGGGGGCAGAGGGCGAGCCTCGGCCGCTTCGGCGCCTTTCTCGCGGCCGAACGATTGGGTGGTTTTACCTGGCTCGCGGTGCTAGACCAAGCCGTGATAACATTCCTCTGGCTAAACTTTGCTCTAGTTATTTACTAAGGATAAACTCGTAGAAGTGCAATTTCCGGAGGTGAAGAGAAAGCACTATTTTAAAATGTTTCATTTTATTTGTTTTCGAATAGATACTGTAGTCGCGCGGTGTTCAATATTGAAGAGGCATCTGTTCACCTATTCCTGATTCCTCTCTGAGAGGGCGTCATTATGCACTCTCATACACTCACACGGACTGTATGAAGTGCGCGTGCTTTCTATAGATGTACATGTACACATATAGCTCTCCATGAATATATATAGATACTTGTCTTTCACAAATGGTGTCTGTGCTTGGCATTTTTCACTTACCAGATTATCTTGGAGAGCTTTGCAAGTCAGTCCTGTATAGTATTTAACTATAGGCACATACGCGTGATATATTTAACTAGTCACTACTGACGGACATATACATTGTATATTAGTTACCAACATACCAACACATAGTGACATAAAACAACAATGCTTTTTTTTTTCTTTTTTTGCTATAGGGCGTGTGCACTTGCCAGAAAGACAGAGAGACAGAGAGCAGGAAATCACCCTGCAGGGGGTTGGTCACGCCGCAATCCCTTCTCCTCCATTCTCCTCTTGGGATCTTGGGCACGCATGTACACGTGCCCGGCGTGAGTTTAAGCCACCAGGCCTGGGACTCAAACCGCAGTCGACTACAACATGGGAGTCCAGCAACATAGCTATTACACCAACTGCTGGTCCCCATTTCTTTCTATTTAAAAAAGAATTATGCATTTAATTTTATGAATTATTATTATTATTATTATGTTAATTTGCTATAAGGCAGGTATGCTCACCAGAGAGAGCCATAGAAAGAGAGAACGAAAGTAAGAAAGCAAGCCATCAGGTCCGGGATTCAAACACAGTGGGCCCTGTGGGAGTCCAGCATCATAGCCACCACGCCACCTGCTGGCCCCTGGAGGACCCATTTCTAAGGTTACTCACTCACATGACTGGAAAGTTGATGTTGGCCAGGGGCCCAGGGCCTCAGTTTCCCTCGGCATGGACTTCTTCACAGAGCTGCATACGTGTTCTCGGGCATGGTGGCTGGCCTTCTGTAAGCTGTCCAAGAGGCAGAAGCTACGCGGCCTTGTGTAGCCCCACCTTGGGTTACAACCTTCGCTTCCTCTTTATTCTGTTGGGTGTAGCAACTACAAAGGTCTGGTCAGGGTCAAAGGGAAGGGGGTAGACCCTACCTCCCAATGGAGGGTGCCAACGTCGTTTTGTAAGAAGAGTGTGAGAAATGAGGTGAATCGTTTTGTCTTTGGAAAATACAACCCGCCATGGTCATTTCTATTATTTTGTAAGTGCATTTCTAAGAGCATTTTGTGTTCATTTCCTTTGATTTCTTTCTCTCATAAAAAAAGGAGAAGGGGATGGAGAGAGGGACAGGCTCTACCCCCTCGACAGGCCCTTGTACCACCATTCTACCGCCACCTCCGCCAGCACAAGCTCCTCACACAGGGAAACCTTGCCGTGTGAACCGGGCACCTCCACGTGGCCCCAGTGTCACTGCCGCACCGCCACGGCTGGCTTGTTAAGACCTTTGATATGTACGATCAAATTCCCTTTAGGAAGGGTGTCCCAATTTAGACTCCCACCAGGGGTGAGCAAGAAAGCCCGTTTCTCTGCATCCGTACTAGTACTGAGTTTCTTTCAAAACCCTGCCCGTTTGATATGCCAGAAAGGGTATTTCATTATCTTAAGAACATTCCAAGAAAGCAAAAGACCCAAGTCTGAGTCCTTCGGGTCTTCATGGGCTAGAGCAACCACGGCACAATACTGCCTGGGTGGCTCACACCACGGAAATGCATTTTCTCACAGTCCCGGCTACTGGAAATGCAAGTTCAAGGTGCCAGAAGGTTCATTGCTCCTGAGGCCTCTTTTCTTGGCATGTAGATGGCAGCTTCTTGCCGTGTCCTCTACATGACCTTCCCCTGTGTACAGGTAACCCTGCACACAGAGGAGCTCCATGTTGGGGTTAGGGCTTCAACCTGTGAATGGGGGGGGGGGAACGGTTCATGACGGCATCTTTACTGACTTGCAGAGACAACCTGGGACAGCCACAGGTCTCTCTGTGCCTCGGTGTTTTCATCTGTTTAATGGAGTCCCATCGCATTCCTTCTTCCTTTCCCTCCTAGACGCATGGCTCTTCAATTGGATAGGACACGTGAAAGGGTTCTGGACAACATAATTATGCAAACACGAGATGCTTGTAATTCTGGGTCTCACAGTTCTGAGTTTACCTAACAGAAGGTACCCTTTGTAGACCCGAGTAGTACACTTATAGGGTAGAGAGATGTATCAGTTATCTACTGCTGTGTAACAAACCATCCCCAAACTCAGTGACTTAAAACAGTAGCTTATTATTTCTCCAAGTTCTGTGGGTGGCCGGATGGGTCCTCTGCTGGTTTCACTTGGGCAGCTGCAGCTCACGGATGGTTGCTGGGGTTGAGGGATCTAGAACATCTGGGATGCCTGAGCCTCTCCCTCCTCGTCATCTTTCAGGCTGGGCTCTAAACATGGTGATGGAAGTATCCGAGAGAAGAACGCAAGGACCCCTATTCGCTTCTGCCACATCCTATTGGTCAAAGCATATCACAGAGCCAATCAGATTCAAGGGGAGGGGAAAATATTCCACCCTATGATAACAAGCAATGAGTTACGTTGCAAAGGGGCATGGACACGTGTGTGTGTGTGTGTGTGTGATTCTGTCGGAGCTAGTGTAACCATTCTCCCCTCCGGCCCTGTGCCAAGCCCATGGTTATCAGCGTGAGCTATGTCAGCCCACCCACCCTCAGACCAGTGAACTTTGCCCTCACCTGGTGCCTCCCAACTTGCTCCTCCGCCTGTTCTGGGCCAGTCCAGCCCCGGAGCCCTGCGCTTGGCTGTGTCTGTGGTTCGAGGCCCTGTTTATACCACTGGCTTTGTGACACATCTGAGAACTTTGCTCTGGGTCACTCTGCAAGCCTTCCCAGTCCCTACTGGCTCTCACTCTGCTTCTTGGAACTCGTGGCCGGAGCCCAGTCCCCCAGCAGCCCTTTGCTGGGCACAGATCTGCCCTCCCCAAGAGGAAGCTTATACCCCACCAGTGGATTCTCCCACCGATGTTCCAGCAAGACTGCCCAATGCATCTAACAGAGCGAAAGAATTCTCTCCCCTTGTGCTCAACCCAACCTAATGAGCTCCGTCAGGCAGGCCTGTGAGACACAACTTATGCCTCCAAGTTTAGCCTCCCCCTTTTTCTGGTCTCTTCCCCACTTCCTTTAGAGATTGCGAGTTACTACAAATATAAACCCGTGCTGTCGTTATTGATATAGGCTCTAAAAGGAAAAGATAATCCCAAGAAGGCAGGATCTCGCGGGTTTATTGGGAAGGCTGCCGAGAAGTTCACATGAATCACATTTTCCTAATTGAATTGCAGTTTTCGATGTCGCGCAGGACTTCTGCCTAAGGCTCCTCAGAGGGCCGTAAAGCGGGGTGGAGAGTGGAGAGCTGTTTGCTGCTGAGAGTTTGAATTTTTTATAAACTGATGTTTTTGAAAGGGGCAGCTTTTTGATAAAGATATTAATTGCTAATTATGAAAATGATCCTAACATTTCAAGAGACATTGTTAAGTGAGGGGGGGAAAGCAAGGGACACAATGGACTAGTTAGATGCTTCTGTGTAAAAAGGAGAGAAAACATATCGTTAAAATATAAGTGCGTGTTGTCCTCTCTTTGGAAATGTCTGAAAGAAACCAGTCGTATTGACTCAGGGGAGAAAAGACGCCGCGAGGGCAGTTTTTCCGTTCGTCCTTTGTACTTTGTGAGACTTGTGCCCTGTGAACGTATTGCCTATTCCGAAGTAAATCAATACTGCGGGGCTGGGTGTGTCCTGGAGGGGCTGGAGGGAGGTCTCCAGGGCTCGGGGATTGATCTGGGTCTCAGTGGTTATGTGGGTGAACACATGTGAAAAGTCGTCAAGACATGGGGAACCAGCAGTTAGCGTAATAGCTATGTTGCTGGACTCCCACGTAGTCGACCGCGGTTCACATCCCAGACCTAGTGGCTTAAACTCACGCCGGGTGCGTGTGCGTGCATGCCCAAGATCCCGAGAGGAGAATGGAGGAGAAGGGATTGCAGCGTGACCATCCCCCCCGGGGGTGATTTCTCACTTTCTGTCTCTATGTCTCTGTCTGTCTGGCGAGCGCACGCGCCCTATAGTGAAAAAAAAAGTCGTCAAGACAAACACTGAGGATCTGTGCGCTTTATTGTAAGTTAGACTCGAAAACAGTGATTTTTTTTTTTTTTTTTGGCCAGAGGGCATGTGCACTTGCCACAGAAAGAGAGGGAGAGGGAGAGGGAGAGGAAGAAAGCACCCCCAGTGGAGCATGGTCGCACTACGATCCTTCTCCTCCATTTCTCTGTCCTGTCGGGATTTGGGACACGCATACACATATGGCCAGAGTATTTTTCAAGCCAGCACGACGGGGATTCAGACTGTGGTCATCATGTGGGATCCAGCTCCTTAACTACTAAGCCCCGAGGCTGACTGCAAAAAAAATTATGTCTTTTAATCAAAAAATGAAATACATTAAAAATACTGTTTTAGGGTCAGCAGGTGGTTAAGACACTGGACTCCCACTTGGCCAACCACAGTTCTAGTCCTGGACCTGGCAGCTTGAAAGTCATGCTGGGCATGTGTGAGTGCGTGCCAAAAGTCCTTAGGGGAGAATGGAGGAGAAGGGACTGTGGTATGGTCATACTCCCGGAGGGTGACTTTTCACTTTACCTCTCTCTGTCTTCTTCTGGTGAGTGCATGCACCTTATGGCAAAAACCTAAAATAAATAAATAAGAGAGGGAGAGGCTAGCAGGTGGCATAGTGATTAAGGCACTGGACTCCCACATGGTTGACTATGGTTCAAGTCCCAGACCTAGCAGCTTAAAAATCACACCGTGTGTGTGCATGTGTGCCCAAAATCCCAAGAGGAGGGGACCAGCAGTTAGTGTAATGGCTCTGTCACTGGACTCCCACATAGTCGACCGCGGTTCGCGTCCCAAACCAGGTGGCTTAAAACTCACGCCGGGCACGTGTGCGTGTGTGCCCAAGATCCCGAGAGGAGAATGGAGGAGAAGGGATTGCGGCATGACCATCCCCCCTGGGGGGGTGATTTCTCACTTTCTGTCTCTCTGTCTCTCTCTGTCACAACGCCCCTAGAGGAAAAACCCCTCTAAAAAAAAAAAAAAAAAAATCCCAAGAGGAGAGTGGAGGAGAAGGGACTGCGGCGCGCCCGTGCTGTCTTGAGGAGTGTTCTCTCACTTTCCCTTTCTCTGTCTCGCTCTCTCCAGCAAGCACATGTGCCCTATGGCAAAAATCTCTCTTAAAATTTTTTTAGAGGGAAAATATAGTCAGACCAGGATATATTACCTAGCTTAACAAAACGTACATATGTTTCTTTTTCTTTCTTTTCCTTTTCTTTTTGAGAGGTTTTTGCTATAGGGCACATGCACTTGCCAGAAAGACAGAGACAAGAGACAGAGAGACAGAAAGCGAGAAATCACCCCCCCGGGGGGATGGCCACGCCGCAATCCCTTCTCCTCCATTCTCCTCTCGAGATCTTGGGCATGCATGCACATGCGCCCGGCATAAGTTTAAGCTACCAGGTCCGGGACTCACACCATGGTCGACTACCTGGGACTCCAGAGACATAGCCATTATGCTAACTGCTGGTCCCCAAGTACATGTGTTTCTGAAAGGTTCACAGAAGCCACTTTCTAGAAGGTGAAGCGTAATTCCCAACTGGCTTCCATTACGAGGTCTAAGGTGGATTGGGCCTTTCAAAGGGTGGCAAGGCGGATCTTGGTCTGAACACTGGATGCCAGCTAGAGGGAACCCTTCCACACTGAATCCAGACCTGGTGGAGAGGAAGAGAGGTGAGCTGAGCCTCTTCGGAAGGCTTGAGAAATGAGAGGCCAGCCAAGAACGGGGCAGATCCGTGACACTGCCCGAGGCGCTGCGTCCTGGGCTTTCTGGCCACTGCTCAGACTGGAACAGCAGAGGCAGACACAGAATCCTTCTGAGAGGCGAGAGGGAAAATGGGCATCGGAAGACCGCCGTGTACTGATGATCCACTCATGTGCTGAGCATCTTACCGCTTCGAAGCCCTTTCATGCCCCTTAGGACACTGGCCCTGGAAACAACGCTGAGCGGACGGCCATGCACTGGGACCCGTGTTATGAATGAGGAAGGAAGCGGAGATCCAGAGAATAAAGTCAGAAGCGACCAAGCCAGGACTCAAGCCCACAGTTTACAGCTCTGAATCTGGGGCCAACAGGTGGCATGGTGCTTAAGGGGCGGGACTCCCACATGGTCAACTGAGGTTCGAGTCCTAGAGCTGGCAGCTTGAAAAATCACACCAGTTATGTGTAGCAACCGTGCCCCCAGGGCTGATTCCTCACTTTCCCCTCTCTGTCTTTGTCTGGCAAGCACATGTGCCCTATGGCAAAAACCTAAAGAGAGAAAAAAAAATCACGCTCTGAATCCGATGTACGTATTACTGCTTCCCAGAAAGATCATGGCGCATCTAGAGTCAGGTCTGGCTTCTTAGCTGTGTGATTCAGCACAAACCACGGACCCTCTCTGTGCCTCCTTGTCTCCATCTGCTCCGTGGGGTTGGTGTGAGGATGAGATAAGCCAGTACAGGGCCAGCCAGCAGCACGAGGGTAAGGTGGTTGGGTCCCACATGGCCAAGGGTGCTGTTAGAGTCCCGGACCTGGTGGCTTGAAAAACACACCAGGCATGTGTGCATGCGTGTGCCTAAAATCCCGAGAGAAGAATGAAGGAGAAGAGATCGTGGGGGCCGACCCCTCAGGGGGCGGTTCTCTCTCTCTCTCTCTCTCTCATGAGTGTATACACTGTGTAGCAAATTAGGAAGAATGTAAAATGTTTTTAAAATCCGAAAAGCAGTAACGAGCCGATACATAGAAGACGCGTAGTAAGTGCTCGCTAAGAGTTCATTCTTGGGGGTGGCAGGCTGGAGTGTGATGCCGATACATAGAAGACGCGTAGTAAGTGCTCACTGAGAGTTCATTCTTGGGGGTGGCAGGCTGCAGTGTGATTACGGCGCTGGACTCCCGCGTGGCTGACGGTCCAGGCCGGACCTGGCGGCTTTCTCACGTTCTCTCTCACGAGCACACGTGCCCTGTAGCAAACTGAAAACCAATAATAATGATCAATAAAATTAAGTAATTCTTAAAAAAGGTGAACTTTTAAACGGGGCCAGCAGGGGGTATAGTGATTAAGGCCTAGACTCCCATATGCCGACCGTGACTACAGTCCTGGGCCTGGAGGCTTGAAAACCACACCAGGAACTGTGTCTGTGAGCCCCAAGTCCCAGGAGGCAGATGGAAGACAGAGGGTTTCCATGTGGCCGTCACCCTTGGAGGGGACTTCTCACTTCCTCTCTCACTAGCTCACTCTCTATTTTTTTAAGAGATGTTTGCTGTAGGGAGGATGCGCTCACTGGAGAGACAAAGAGAGATAGAGAGACAGAAAGCAAGAAATCACCCCCCAGGGGGGATGGTCACACCGCAATCCCT